ATGTTTCTGCCGAGAGAATAAAAATTTGTCCAATGTGTTTGCAACAAATCCAGATTGAAGCAAATTGCAGATAAATAATGGTAAGACTATAAAGGTTGAGTATGTTCAGTATGTAGTAACATATTTGGCATATTGAGAAATTCAATTAGAGTTGACGAAAGAGATTGAAAACCTGAGTCAGGCTTTGTGGGAAGCAGGGACAAATACAGTAGATTCAGGTGCTGATTAGATGTGGTTTATAAGAGCAAAGAAGGAATCAAGATGCCATAGACTTTTAAAGAGTTGTTATAGATATTTCATTATTTAAACAAATATTTGCTGAATGCCTCATACAGGATAATGATAATTGTAGAAAACAGCTATGAAGCATGTTTTATGGCAGTCTGGTGAGAGGCAGTAAATCAGAAAATAGTAAGTGCTGTGGGGAAGAGAAATAATCAAGAAGGGTGTTGGGGAGCCATGGAGGAAAGAAGAGGGGAGGGGGTTATAGTGCTGCAATATTCAAGAAGGGCCTTCCAGAAAGAGGTTAGCATTGCCCTCTAGCTACCGAAGAAAAGTTTGAAACAGTAAAATTTTAAAGGTGGCAATGTGTCTAACATAGGTAAGCAGCATGGGGGTGGACAACACAGACACACACACAGGCATGCACGCACGCACTCACAGCGTGGGGTTGGGGGTGACAGACAGTGCTTTTAGATGGCTAGCAGGTAAAAGTGCTTGCTTCCAAGCCTGACAACTTAACATTGATATCTGGGACCTACCTACATGGTGGAAGGAGAGAAAAAAGGAAAGCCAACATCTTAGGAAATAAGATTTATGAGTCATTCACATAGAAGTAATAGTTGAAATATTGAGTGGTCATCATTGTATTAGAGAAACCAAGAGAAGAGACAAGATAGACATCACCTAGAGCAGGAAGAGCCATGCCGTTGCTGCATGCTATTGCTTCTGTAAGAAGCTAAGGGGAGGAGGAGAGCCTTCAGGGAGGTTGGCAAATGCTGCTCTGTAGTAAGGTAATGGACCGAGTAGAGATCAGATTTGGCAATAGAACACCTCGGGCCCCAGGAAGTACTTCTGGACACATGGAAAAGACAAACTTTTGAGTTGGGGAAGGTAAGCAGTGAATATGAGAGGGAAAAACAGAACAGGATCAGTGTATTTGTTTCTTGGTTTTCATGCTCATGTAGACTGAGCTGCATTCTTAGCCTTGCTTTGTCTAGAAATTAGATCTCCCAGGGCTACGGTGGCACACACCTTTAATCCCAGTACTCTGGAGATAAAGGCAGGCAGGCAGATCTATGTAACTAGTTACAGGCTAGCCAGGGATCCATAGTAAGACCCTGTCTCAAAAAAAAAAAAAAAAAAAAAAAGGGAAAAAGAAACAAAAGGAAGTTAGATCTCATGGTGTTTTAGGCCAAAGGAAAGAGGTAAAACAGCATGGTGATGCCCATGCCACATAATCTCAGCATGGGGGAAAGGCAGGAAGACTGATAGAAATTTGAGGCCAGCTTAGCATACATAACAAGTTCCACGCCACCCAGAGCACAAAGTAGGCCCAGTCTCAAAAAAAAAAAAAAGGGAAGGACTAGGAAAGGGGTGATTATAGACAGGGATCAGCAGAGGAATTATGTAATGAAGCCTTTTACTGGAAAGAGAAGAAAAATGTGGCACAGGAACCAGGTAAAAGAAGAATGGTGTCTGAGATGGGTGGGTGGGTGGGTGGGTGGGTGGATTTGTGGTAAACAAAACTAAGGAAACTTGGTTCATATATTCAGTTCTCTGTACTTAGAGCAGACTCCATCCACAAGCAGGCCTCTGTTGGTCATGCACAGTTCCTGCTGCTGTTGGCATGCAACTTAAAATTGGTGTTTATAATTTTCAGTAATCAGAAAAAAAGAATGTTTTGTTTTGTTTTTTAATCAGAAGAGAGGCTGGGGAGATGGCTGAGTCAGTAAAGTGCTTGCTGCACAAACAGGAAGACTTGCTTGAGTCTGGATTCCCAGCACCCATGTAAAAACCTTGTGTGTGTGGCACTAGCTCTGGGGTGGGCAGACACAGCTAGATCCCTGACCCCAGGTTCAGTAAGAAGCATAGTGTCAGAAAACAAGGTCCACAGTTACAGAGGAGGCAGCCAGCATCAACCCCTGACCTGCATACTCTCTCTCTCTCTCTCTCTCTCTCTCTCTCTCTCTCTCTCTCTCTCTCTCTCTCTCTCATGAACACATAATGACATACATTTTTAAAAATCTGAATAATTTTGGCATGTAAAGATTATAGGAAATTCAGATGTCAATATCTATTAATAAAGTTGTATTGAAATGTAGCCTAGTGTATTGAAATGTATCCTAGTTATACATTGCTGTGGCTAACTTTGTGTTGAAACAACAGAATAGCTTATAAAAACTTTATGTAGTACCATAATTACTTCACACTGGTCTGTATACTACAAATCTGCAAACTCAGTTACACTTTGGCAGCATATAGAATGTCACATACATTGTTACACTATTATAGTGGTTGAGAATGGCCCCCATAGGCTCATAGATTTGAAAACATAGCCACCAGGAAGTGGCCCTATTTGAAAGGATTAGGAGGTGTGAACTTCTTGGAGTAGGTGTGGCCTTGTTGGAGGAAGTGTATCTAGTGATTAGGGCCTTGAGTCTTCAAAAGCCCAAGCCAGGCCCAGTGGCTCTCTTTTTGTTGCCTGTAGATCCAGATGTAGAACTGTCAGTTACCATGTCTGCCTGTGTGTGGCCACACATTCCAAGTCTTGATGATAGACTGGACCTCTGAAACTGTACGGCTTTCCTTTAAGAGTTGCCATAGGCATAGTGTTTCTTCACAGCAATAGAACTAAGACAAATATAGTGTCTTTTGGTGGTGGGGGGGGATTAAACCTACACCCTTAAGAATGCTAGGCTAGTACTCTACGTCTGAGCAACGTCTCATACTACATTTCATGATGTTATACATTGCACGCAAGAATAGAAGAAGAGTCGATTTTGACAGTTACACTTTAAAGACACAGTACAGTACGTGCCAATAGAGTACTGTGTTTATTATGTAGTGGCACAATAGCTGTGTTAAATGAATACACATACCCAACTTGATTTTAGTATTCACAGAAATCAATAAACACATAGAAAACTGAAGATGGAACTCTTATCAGAAAGTTTTCTTACAAAAGAAAGAAGGAAATAGAAGTTACAACCAAGGTTTCCTTTTTTAGCCAGTAGAGGAAGTCTTTATTGATAATTATTGCAACAGCCAAAGAAATTTATCCAGAGACAGTAAGTCTGTGTGTGATTGTTAGCCTGACAAGGAGAACAGTTTCTTTGAGAATGACACAGTCAACTATAAACAAGACAGATGAAGGGTGGTATGTGTGGTTTAGTGTCAGAGCGTGTGCTTAGCATGCACAAGGACCTGGTGGCAGACCTTACCACCTCCCAAAAGAAGAAAAGGAACAAATTATTTGTGTAGCTTTCTCTGGCTCATGATAACCTGATACTTCTCCGTTGCTTGAGGAGACAGTGGTAAATTTGAGACAATGATGTAGTTGGCCATTATGAATAATCTATACAGTATGACTATTTTTAGAATTGAAAGCACTAATTTATTACCACCCGAGGTAGACTCCACTAAGACATATTGCAACTGGGGTTACACTATTTGTAGTGGAGTCTAAAACTGTCTAGTTAAACAAATTTTCAAATCTTTCAAAAACAAATTTAAATGTATAACTATTCATTGTTTTACTCAGTAACAGAGGATATTTATTAGATACTATTGAGCCGTAGTTTCAACAATAAGTTTTCATTTACTTTTATGATATATAACTATTGTCAGTTGTATTGTGTCAAAAGTTGAAGTGGGAAGGAGAGATGATGCAGTAGTCCCAGAGAACCCTATTCATTTCCAAGCACCTACCTTGGTACCTCACAGGGGCTCTCCTCTGGCCTTGCTGGCACCACAGACATATACATACATATAAATAATCTTTTTAAATGATTTTTTAAGTAGATGGCGGAAATCCTGACTTTGTCTCATTAGTTTGTCTTGTTTTAACACTTGGCAGGATCTCATGTACATAATGGAAGTAGAAGACGGATTAGTTGGAAGAACGAGGGGTCAACAGGAATGGGAGGGGACAAAAGGATAAGGGGCATATATGATCAAAATGCATTTAAGTAATTTATAAAAATGTCATAATGATGTTCATTATTATCTGTGTTTAGTATATGCTAATAAAAGTGTTCAAATAAGTGGGATTTCCCCACCCATACAGGTTTCAAAGTGCAAACCGTGATGCCAAAGTCAGTTTTGGACTTCCAAATGCAAAGGGAATATCCATATTTCAGAATGTCTTTAACTGTAATTGAAGAGCTCCCACTCATTATTTGTCATTTGTAAGTGATTAGTCAGCAGTGTACTAACATGGTTCACATCATAACCAAGAGACTTGGATAGTCTGTTCACTCAAGAAATGAATATGCTTCATTAAACTTGGATGCTTATGAAAGTGTACCTCAAATCTTACCACCAGCTACATTCACAGATGAATAGTTTCAGTTGAACCCAAAATAAATGAAATATTATCCCTCCCCAATTATTCCTTTCTTGTTGGTAGACATGTACTGATGTTTAAAAAAAAGTTTTTTATTTGAATTTTGTCCCAAATAAAACCTAAAACTTTTTCTTTCTTGTTATATAGTATCCAGGAAACTTCCCTCCTGGCCTTTAAAATCTAAAATGTATACTTCTGACCTTCTACAGGGAAAAGGAAAACAAAAATTGTCAACCCCTGACTGAAAGTAAGAGTTTAAGAAAAGGCAAAGGTTTGTAAACATTCACTTAGCTCAGGGTTTGTTGTGAGATTTACTTTGGAAAGGAGACCTGTCAACTTGGCAAATAAATTTATGCAGTTTACAAGCCACAGCCAATGACTATTTGTCTGCATTTTGCAACCTTTATTAACTAAATCTTCATTTTGTTTATAGACAACATCAGCTGGGCGAATGGTGAGGATGACCATGTAGTTGCTAGAGCAGAGTATGATTTTAATGCCATGTCTGATGAAGAAATTTCTTTCCGTGCTGGAGATATGCTAAATTTAGCTCTCAGAGGTAACAAATCATGAATAAGTTGTAATTATCTTGAATTTTTAATACTTGTTAAGGTAGTATTGGAAACAGACATACAACCTTACCAGTTAACTTGCAAATAGTTACTAGAGTTTCACTTTTGCCTGGTGTGTGTGTGTGTGTGTGTGTGTGTGTGTGTGTGTGTGTGTGTGTGTGGTGTGTCTGTGTGTCTGTGTGTCTGTGTGCTGTTTTGGGTGGGTGGGTGGTTGGTTGGTTGGTTGGTTGGTTGATTTTTGTAGGCTGGTCTGGAACTCACTATTTAGCCCAGGCTGGCCAAAAACTTAGAGCCATCCTCCTCCCTCAGCCTTCCAAGGGCTAGAATCACACGTGTTAACCTCCACTCTCCCCATTACCCGCTTGTCCCCTCCTACCCCTGCTTACCCACCTTGTTTGTCCCAACTAGTCCCCTCCTAATATCATGTAGATGAGACCCTTCGTCAAAAACCAGTAAAGTCAGAGAACATATCCCGTAGCTGTGTCCCAGTGACACTTCCTCTAGATTTCTCTTCTAAATCAAAACTCCTGAATTCCAAGCTCTGCTCATCCCTACATAGCATATGGTATTGAAGTAATAATGTCTCAGATTCCGACTCAAACTCTAAAAGACATTGATGAATTTTTGTTGATTTGTTTGCTTCAAGCAAAGTCTGAATCCAGGCTACCTCAAACTTGTCATCCCCCTGCCTCATCCTCCTGAGTACTTGCATGTGCCAGGGTCAACTTTGATGTTAATTTCCAGCTCTTGAAAGAACTGATTCTCCTTCCTGACTGAATGAACCAACAGATAAAAACTTTAATGTTCTTCAGGGTAGGGCTATTTAGCTAAGTATTATAACACTTTCTTTTTTCTACGTAGTATGTTTATTACTTTACATCACTATACTTTAAGGATGGAACCTGTAGTCCCTGCTACTTGGGAGGATTGCCAGCCTGGGCAACTGTGAGATTCCATCTCTTGTTTAAAAAAAAAAAAAAAAAAAATGAATCCAGAACAGTTAAGTGTGCTAGAGTTTGCTTTTGGGTGTGCATATACACACTACTTGTTTATATATTTCACTGTGAGACTTGAATTTTGTTTACCATACTTTATCATTAATAGTCTGTTAGACTCCAAAGCATAATTATAAAGCTATCTTTCTCTTTCTTCAGAACGACAGCCCAAAGTTCGTGGTTGGCTTCTGGCTAGTCTTGATGGTCAAACAACAGGACTGATACCTGCAAATTATGTCAAAATTCTGGGTAAAAGAAGAGGCAGAAAAACAATGGAATCGAGTAAAATACCCAAGCAGCAACAGTCTTTTACCAACCCAACGTTAATTAAAGGAGTCACTACTGCCAACTCTTTGGATGAACAGGAAGCTGCCTTTGAATCTGTTTTTGTTGAAACTAATAAGGTTCCAGGTGCACCTGATTCTACAGGGAATAATGGAGAGAAACAAGATCTTTGATATCTTTTATGTTTGTGTGCAGGTGAATAATACTTTAGACTACTTTTAAAAATTATTTCTTACAGAGAAATCAATTTGCAGTTGAATGAAAGCATTTGCTCATGGCCGTCCCAGGCGTTTTGCTGCTAGAAGTTATTAGTCACACTAGTATGCTGGTCTAGTGATCGGGCTACACCTGACCATTTATTGGACCATGAGGACATTTGTTTCACCTAGCTTTTAGATTATGGAGATTGTTGTCAGTTTCATCTTATCTAAATCCCTAAGCTTACTGGAACAGTAAATTTGATGAACACTAGAGTACACAAGTTGCCTCAGAAGGGATTATTAATGCTTTTTTAAAGTTCTGAGTTAATTGATTTGAAGTCTTCAAAAAGTGAGTGATAACATCTACTTACAAGAATAGGCAAAAAGGCTGACTTTTTATAACCTTTTAAGTAAACTAAATAATAAAATTTTCTTGATCTGTATATGTCCAGTGTTGGATTTACTTTAGGTGAGAGGTTTCTACCTGCAAACAATTGATACTATTATCTTTTATTGTACTTATAAAGATTTATTGTTTAAATGTCCCTGGGAGTACTATGAAGGAGAACATTCTAGAACAAGAGTTCCTTAATCTCTTTCAATATAACTAGTTTTTATCCTAAGTAAATCAGAATAGATTTTATTTCTTTTCCTCCAACTAAAATGTACATCCTTTAAGATTGCACTTAATGATACAATCAGTTCTGGCAGTAATGATTTTTAATCTTCATGAATTTTCTGCTTCTACATAAGACAAGTACTTTTATAAAGTCTATAATCACGATATACTTTAAACATTGAAACTGTGTCACATTGGGTAGATTTAGTTTTTACTACTAAGACTAAATAATTCACTTGCTATTTCAAATATATTATTTAACTTTTTTGTCTTAATGAATTTTAATGTGTTTAGTATAGTTGTCCCCACAGAGTTGGAAGATTCATACACTTGCTGTAAATGGACCACAAATTAATACTGTCAGAAATATACACAAGAATACATTTACAGATACTGCTAAAAGCTGTGTTTTTGATAACAGTGATTTGTATTTATATCTTTCATACAGATATGTTTGTCAAATAAGTAACTCTAGAGCGGTTCATATTAAGCCATATCTAACCCAATATATAATAGGCACAAAGGAACTAGAGACTTCATGCCTTTTGAAGTGACAGTATAATCACTATAATAAGTAACATATCCTGTTATCTTTAGATAGAGATAAGTACTTATGGACTAGTTCATCTTTGGCCTGTTTACTAACATTGAGGAAGTAGCCTTCCCATTGAGAAAGTGGATTAAATACTCTACCACTCAATGAAATGTTGAGTCAGCACTTTTTTTTTTTTTTTTTTTTTTTTTTTTTTTAAGATGAGATTTAAGATAGGATTTGTGACTGGTAGAAGCTATATAGAAAAGAGAACTTAGGCAAACAAATGCAAAACTGCTTCTTCCAGGGTCTTTATTATTTGGCTGACTATGCTAGATTATAGTATTAACCTGATAGCTACTTGTGTCCATTCTGCAGTAAAATTTTAGAAAAGCAACTGTAGGACTAGAAAGTCAGAAAAGTTCTGCAGCTATTTTCTTTTTAATCACAGCAGACTGAAAGTAATTTTGTGAGGAAATGAAATGTCCTGGTCACAGCTCCAATATTACTTTCGGGGCCTCTTTAAAGTAGTACTACCTCACAGGAAACTACATTTGCAATTAAAGAAATCAGAAGGTACAGTAAGAAAATAAAATTCAAACTTTTTAAACTGTTTTTTCAGCTCGGAAAGCAAATGATACAAGGACTAGAAATAAGTTGTCATGATCTAACCCTGATTCAGAGCCCTGTTCCAGTCTGTCCGGGTATCACAGTTACTCACTTCCTGAGCACAGCCAATGTTTATTTTCTGCTTTCTTTAATGGAAAAAAGAAACAAATTACAGTTAACTTTTTATTTTTAATAGACTGTAAAAATACTTTTACTGGAGAAATAAAAATATTTTAAACTTGATTTCTTTTTTCAAGATAAATATTAACTTGCAAATAGGAGTTAATATAGTCTACAGGGTTTTTTAATGATGTTGTATATAGTTATGTTACTATAAACCAATGAGTTTTGTTCTATTACATTTTTATTTAAAGAAAATAGTAGACTTACATTTGTAGAAAAATTATCTACAGGTGAGTTAAATAAAAAAATCTTGAATTTAGATTTTGGGTGACCTGGGCCCGTGAAATGACTCAGTGGGTAAAAGCGTACTTGGCATGGAGCCTGACTTCTTGAGTTCAGTCCCCAGAACCCATGTGGCAAGAGTGAACTGACAAAAGCAGGCCACCCTCTAAGCTCCACAGGTATGCTGTGTCATAAACATACACACACAATAAACAAAAATGTAATTGAGTTTGAAGACCTACATTCCAGACTGAGTTTTAAGTTCCGTTATTTTTCAGTTTCTTCATTGGTAGCATTGAAGATAGCTACCACAACTGCCTCTCTTACTGAAGCTTCCTTTATTAAGGACTTTAAAAAGTAAAATGGTGTGACAATTTTATGTTTTTTAAGCTTTCCTTATGCACTTAAACATCTTAAATCCTTTGTAAATGTCACAGAGTATACCATCCTAAAGCCTCGGATTCAGATGTACTTAGTTAAGAAGTAAAGCTAGGCCTAGAGAAGTGACTCAGCAGTCAGATACTTATTATTGCAGAAGATCTAGGCTCAGTTCCCAACAGCCACCTCCATCTGTAACTCCAGCTTCAAGGGAGCCAACGCCCCCTTCTGGCCTCCACAGGTGCTGCATGTATGTGGTGCACATACACGCATGCAAACATACATATAAATAGTAAAACAATTAAATTAGTGCTGAGCATAATAATGAAAAACGTAACGTTTTTAACAAGTTGAAGCTGAGTGTGATGGCACACACCTTTAGTCTCAGCAGAGGCAGGCACATCTCTGCTTTCAAGGCCAGCCTGGTCTATTTAGTGAGTTCTAGGACAGCCAGGACTACAAGAGAGACCCTGTCTCAAAAAGTAAAAATTAAAAGCCAAAAAGTGAAAAACAAGTGGAATATTTACCAAACTCAAGAAATTTTCTTTTCTTAGTGTTGCCTTGAAATGTCATTTTTATTTTAGTTTTTCTCTCGGGAGAGTAAACTTTGTTTAAAGTCAATCAATTACTTACAAATCATGTGACAACTAAGAATATTTTGTATTGTACATCACATTTCAAAAGTGAGTCTTTAACTTAAGTGTTTCTGCTCAGCTGGGTAGTGACACACACCTTTAATGACAGCACTCCAGAGGCAGAGGCAGGTGGATCTCTGTGAGTTCAAGGTCAGCCTGGTCTACAGATGAGTTCCAGGACAGGCTCCAAAGCTACAGAGAAACCCTGTCCCAAAAAACAAACAAATTTTAAAAAGTAAGTTTTGGGTTTTGCTCATAATTTATTGATTATATTCATCATTGGTGACACCAATTTCATCTCTACTTCACACCCCCACCTGTGTTCAGTGTTTGTCTTCCTAGGTATCTAGTTCCTTAAAAGGCCATGTAAGTTTGGAAGTTTTTAAGTTTTATATAAATTATATTGGGGCGTAAATTTTATTCTGCTTATTACTTTTATAAAATTGGTTTTTCTAATCTGTGTGCTTTTGGCTAGCAGATGTTCCTATATTGTGTTTACATACCATAGTTCACCTTTTTGTCTAGTTCTAAGTCCTTGTCATTCAGTATATTCCTGTGTCTGCAGATTTGTCTTCCGTAAGTTTAGTTGCTCACCTCGTGGTTTATTTGTGCTAGAGTGATTGAGGTCTTTCACATATGCATATTTAATTTAGAAGATAAACCTGTATTCGCTGGAAAGATTGTTCCAGTTTTTCCATCCACCAGCAAGACATGAGCATTATCATTTCTCTTATATTTCCCCAGTACTGGATTTTTTAAAATCTGATGTATGTAAATTTTTTTCCCCTTAATCTGCACTGTCTGGTTACTGGGAATGTGTATTAGTTTCCTCTCACTGTGGTGAGCTTACAGAAATAACCTAATTCGAGGGTTTGTGTTTGGGGTCCCTGCAGGCATCACGGCTGGTTATCCTCCTGAGGTTAAGAATGGAACCTGGGCCAGGTAATTCATAGCACTCCAGAGATAGAGGCAGGTGGATCCCTGTGAGTTCAAGGCCAGCCTGAGTTCTAGGACAGTAAGGGATACACAGAGAGAGCCTGTGCTGGATCAAAAACTTGTAGAGACTGACCAAGCTTTAAACATACATAGTAGAACTCTGGGGAAAGGTTTCCAAGTGACAGCTAACACAACACAGCTTTAGACATTGCTGCATGGAAAGGCCCTTGCAAAGTGCATCTCTTCCAAGGGATGGACTCCTGTTCACAGAGAAAGTGTTCAGGATAAGGGCCTGAGGAGAAAGGATTTGTCATGAGCATAAAGGTGGTTCCTGTTAATTGAGAATGCAGAGTGCACTAAACATGTCGGGTGATGGTGGTGCGCGCCTTTAGTCCCAGCACTTGGGAGGCAGAGGCAAGTGAAGGCTGTGCTATAGAATAGCAAAACCTGACCAGGTTGTTAGACAACTGTCATGGCACAGGCCTTTAATTCCAGCTCTCGAAGGACAGAGGCAAGCAGATCTCTGTGATTTCAAAGTAAACCTGGTATACAGAGTTAATTCCAGGACAGATAAAAGTTACACAGAGAAACCCTGTCTCAAAAAATGAAAAAATAGATGCAGAAGAAATAGAGTAATAAAAAAGCCACATAAAGATGGAAAGCACAGACAGCTTTCTGTAAGCTGTACCTCTTACAGGTTTACTTGTTTCGGCTCAGTGTTTGAAAAGTGTCAGTCCATCATAGCAGCAGAGTGGGTCCTCTCCAGAAAGTAAAGCAAATGCAGGACAGGGCCAGGGCAAGCTTGAGCCAAGGGCATGCCCCAACTACCTACCTGCTCAAAGTAAGCCCACCTCATCTTCACCCCCACCAATGCCGTCATATTTCACTACATAAAAGAGCTAACCCACTTATTTGATCAGAGACCTCTAAATCTAAACATCTCTAGAGTGTGCTTTACTAACCCAGGCATTTTTTAATCCAGTTGCTAACAAGATTGACTATCACAGCATACAATTGTTTTTTCGGTCATTCTAGTTTTCCATTTGTGGGCTGCACTTCAAATTCACACACTTTTCAGTATAAGATTCTGTATATTTTGGGGGCTGGAAAGATGGCTCAGCGATTGAGAGCACTGCCTGCTCTTCCAAAGGTCCTGAGTTCAATTCCCAACAACCACTTGGTGGTTCACAACCATCTATAATGAGATCTGGTGCCCTCCTCTGGCCTGCAGGCAAACATGCAGGCAGAACACTGTATGCATAATAGAATGATCTTTTAAAAAAAAAAAAAAAGATATTGTATATTTTCAATATCATTTGCCTATCAGGT